GGATGGTGGTTTGATCTATGAGGTCTTTCTGTGCCGTAGCCCAGAGAAGATTTGTGGCACCATCAAGAACAAGTAGAATGATATACTTGTTCTTGTGAAGTTCAACCTCACAATGATCAGCAAAAACAACATCACCAAAACATGAAGCTCTAATACCGGAGACTCTGGCTCGTGGCGGAGGTGCCACTGAAGTGTTACAAACACGGCAGTTCCTGACAACTGATTCATACTTCTCTAAAACAGAGTCAGGAAGCTTCAACATAGAAACACGTCTACGAAACTGAGTAGGACTCATATGGTAGTGCTTCACATGAAGCTTATAAAGCTCTACCTTGTCCTCCAGTCTCTGCAACATCTTCCTATATGCCGGTGTCATTGCAACAACTTCACTACCAGGTAATGGGATTGAAATCCGCCTAGGCTCAAGAGCGCCATCACCTGGTTCAAGTGGTTCATGTTTATCACTTGATGGTCCTTTTGATGCTTTAGGAATTTCTACCAGTTCACCTTCTGGCCTCTCAGGTGGTTCTGAGGGTGTATACCCCTCAGGATATCACCCTTTAAATCCTGTGGAGGCTTTAAATCCTGTGGAGGCTCAGATGGTTTTGACTTGTGTCCTTTCCAAAATGGATCAAAACCCTTGGAAGGATACCGAAACTTTGGCGGCACGGGCTTTTCCGCGGCACTGGATGGTGCACCTTCCTTCTCTGAAGAGAAGCCTGGCTCCCTGTCCTTTGCAATGGGAACCTTCTCTGAGGAGGAGCGCACCACTGCATCGGGATCACCAATGCCACGGTGCTCAATGCCAGCCTTCCTGATCTTTAGATCTGGAATTTTGGCATCTGGCTTGAACTTAAAAATTGTTCTACCACGCCATTCATAGCCAATTTGTAGGTCCTTCCATTTTGCCTTGCGCCAATCATCTATCTTCTTGATCTCTTCTCCTCCTTCTTTCTTCTTGATGATTGTCAGTCGCAAGTCTTCCAGCAAGTCAGTGTCTACAGGACAGGACTTAGTTGCTGGGAAAAGAATCTTCCTGTAATCCTTGTGGTGACGTGTCAGTTCTCTCTTGTGAAGATCTACTTCCCAGTAGTCAACCACAGGATATGCATGCTCAGCTTCATCTTCATCACTATTGTGATCAACCGAAATATGGCCATATTCATAGTGAGTGAAGTGAGAGTAAAAGCTCTTCTCGCGCCGAGCCTGCAAACGCACGTCAGACAGATACCATGCAATATCTTGGAAGTCCAAAACAAGATGAGTACTGGCTGCAACCTTCAACTCCAAAAATTTGATACCAAGAGGCACCGATGTCAGATAAGCATGTTGAGGTGTCAGCCTGAGTTCAAAGCCTAAGTTCCTCATCTGTGGCAAGCTCATAAGCAAAGGGACTTCTCCTTCTTCCACTATGTCGAACTCTGTATTGTGGATCGTCCATGCACGATCATACATGTAGATCACCAATTTCTGAGAGCAAGACGCCTTCTGAGAATTGGCAAAGTAAAACTTGCTCTTGGTAGACTCAAAAGAATACCATAGTCCACAGTCTGGATGATTGTCGACATAGTTACAAAAATAATCGACTGCACGCCTTGATCCCATAGCTCTAGTGCATCCAATGTCCAGGATTGCAATAGTTGGCGGGAAGCGATTCTCAGTCAAAAATGAAATAGCCTGCATCTCCTTCACTTCTTCCTCAGCGCTCATAAGCGCAAAGCCATCAGGAGCACTTGTGAGCATCTCCTTTGACAAAGAGTACCTCACAGGGGCACTCATGTCATCGAAGATCATCTCATCATTGTTGACCTGACAGTCAGCTTCATCTTGACATGAGGTCATCATGCCTGACAGCAAGTCCACCTCACTGTCATGGACTTCAGCTGCTGTTGTCACACAATGCGCAAAGAAACCTTGGTGGCTTCCTGATGCTTGTGAAGTTCTTGAAGGTGCAGGCAAAGAACGTGGCTGTTGTTGATTTGCATAGTTTGCATCTTGTTTGCCATCTCCTTTATCTTTTCCTTTTCCTTTCTTGCCTTTTCTCTTGCCTTTTCCTTTGTGGGAAAACCATGCTTCTTCAAGTTGTTGCCAAAAGTCATGGGCATCTTCATGTTCTCCTTGAAGATAGTCATTCATATCTTCGGCAAGAATAGCATCATATGCTACTTGGTTTGACTCCCAAGTGTCCTCATAAGGATTCTCTTCAAAATACTCATCTGGATAAGTTGTCGATTGCTCATCAGCATAATGGCCTTTACCTCGTCTCTTTCCTCCTTTTCCTTTTCCTCGAGGTCTGAAAAATCTGCGGCCTGATCTTCCTTTGCCTTTTCCTTTTCTTCTTCCTTTTCCTTTGCCTTTTCTGGCTCTTCTTCCTTGGAATCTCCTCTGGAACCAAGCGAAATTCTGATCATCATATACCCAAAAGACATCGTCTAGGGCATCAAGGAATCCTTCTGTTCCATCTTCTTCATCTTCGGCCCAATAGCCATATGTACCATCGAGTTCTCCTTCGTCAAGCACGAGGAATGATCTTCTACCTCCAGCACCTGTTGGCTGCATCAGAGGATTATCTACTGAAGTCTTTGTTGTGCAGAACATCTCAATGAAAACTGTCCTCAACTCTGTTGTGGTGTATTGCTGCAGGACTCTACCACGATGAGTCATCAAAGAGGTCAAAGTGTTCCTCTGGTCTCCAGTCATCGCTGCATCAGCTTGCATCTGAGCTTGTACCTGAGGATGTACTTGTGTTACTGGATCCAACATGTCCATCCAACTGCTCATAAGCCTTTGGAGTAGGATCTGAAATCTTGTCATCCACTTCATCATATCAGCTGATCCGCGATTGAAGCGCACGAATTGCATAAACCTATACAGGAATACATTGGTTGATCCTTTCACAAAATATGGTCGTAGTACTCGTTTCAAGTATTCTACTCCAGCTCCTGGTGGATCGTTCGCCTTCAATGCATCTCTGTCTAATACTCGCTTGTATACAGCTGCTTCTCCTTCTAATCTGTTTCTCAATGCTGGTCCTCTTTTCTCATCCTCCAGCTCGGTGATATCACACCAATCGTCTATGGCATCCTCATAGGAAAACCATGAAGTCTTTCCATCATAAGATGGGGGCACCTTTGTAGTGACCTGTGTTGTCATTGCTATAGCTGCTGGTTCTCTTCTCACATGCCTATTCACATAGGCTGCTGGCTCATAAGCCACATCCGCATCAGGCTCTTCCCAGTCGTCTATCCAATCCATGGCCGTTTGCCCACAAGCAAGTCTATGCCTAGGAAAGGAGCTCACCTGGGTCTTCCAGGATCACTGCTCCGCTACCACTGAAAGAGTGACTAGGGCGTACACGGTTGAGGTGCAGACCGCTAGTGTCTTTTATGCGCAGAGTCTTATCCTCTTGTCTTGAGCCTTATGGCAGTCAAGTATGGACACACTAGATAGGCCACTGGAGTGGAACCTGTACAAGTAGGCCTCTACATTTCAGGGGGGGGGGGGGGGGGGGGGCCAAGCTGATTTGCAGACCGTGCGGGCTTTTTTTGGCATGTTCGAAGGTCCATAAAACACTGTAATTTACAGTAAAAAGTGGCTTTGGATGGGTTTGTGTTGAGCTTATTTACCTTCAAAAAGTTGCATTCTGCCTGCACGGGAGGCAATTTTTGAGGTTTATCTTGCTATCTCGCATTCGAAGGCTTTGAAGTGCAATGTGCATAAAACACTGTAAAAACCATGAAAAATGAGATCCCACAAGTGTAAGGAAGGTGTTTTTGAGAGCTTTTTTTAATCATTTGTTTGCGTATGAAAGCTTGCTCCTGACGAGCACACCCATGATGTCAATACTGCAGCGTACCCTCCCAGGTGCGGTGGTTGTGCAAATGGGCCCGGAGAGTCTTGTGGGCTGCTTCCCGCAAACGGTGAGTAGGCAGGTGGAGCGGGATGGCCAGGTGTTTGTGGTGCTGGATTGTGGTTTTGAGCCACTGTTCACAGTGTTTGGGAAACTGATCGTGGGCCAGAAATGGTATGGTGAGGGGGATGTTGGGCTTGGGCGGACTGAGGTTGCGGTACTGGAGGGCTTGGTTGATGATGTGGAGTGCTCTGCTGCGGCCAGGCTGTTCCAGGTTGGAGGCCATTCTTCGGATGGCGTAGACCTCCAGGTCGGTATGCTTGCCGCTGCGCAGTTGTTTTGCTGCTTCAAAGGATGCCCGTGTGTGTTTGGTGAGATTGCGAAGGAGTAATACTTCCAAGCGCTACAGCGCTTTCCGTCATCTTCTGGCATTCTTTCTGGCATCTTTTCTGCTGTATCTCCTGACAACCTTTCCGGCATCTGCCAGATATCTTGCGGCAATCTATCTGGCAAATCTTCTGGCATCCTTTCTGTCACTCTATCTGACATATTTCCTGACATCCTTTCCGGCATTTTATCAAGCTCCCTGGCATTCCAGCTGGCATATCTTCTGACACCCTTTCCGGCACTCTATCTGGCATACCTTCAGGCAACCATTTTGGCATAGCTTCTGGCATTCTAACTCGCATACCTTACGACAACTTCTGGCATCCTTCGTGGCACTCTAACTGGATCTATCTGGTATATCATGGTACATCTTCTAAATTCTCGATGGTACAGTGCGGGTCCGCGCGTGCCCAGACTGCACTGGCACTATGCAGGCCCGTGCGTGCCCACAGTGGGCTGGAGCTATCGAATCTATGTTGTGGGGGTCCGCAGGTGCCCAGACTGGGCTGGAGCTCTCTCTGGTGTGCTACTTGTTGTGCTGACACTCGCTGTGACACGGCGACATGGCGGAAGGAGGACAAAGGACTGACGGACGGAAGGAGTAGCACCCTCGCTTAAATCGAAAGACCCCCACCTGGCAGGTGTGGAAAAACGACTGGAGCCCGCTCGTCTCACACGTGTCTTGAGATGTCCTAGGCCTGAGGTTTCTTGCATCAGGTGGAGGATAAAATTGATCTTCGATGGCTGGACTCAGCCGAGGGTCTCTTCCCCTGCGTAGGTCTTCAGGTTCTCCTCGAGTGTGGTCACCAGCTTGGAAGCATCCCCCGACTCAATCGGGCGGTCCATGTATTGATAGGCGACGCGGAGCTCAACTCCATTGCCTCCGCACCGTCACGCGATGAAAGCAGGAAGCAAGACCCTTTGAACATTGACAAGGCTTCCCTTGGCCAGGGCCAGAAACTGCCCTCCAAGAAAACCGTTGTGTGCTACAATTGCTTGCCAGGTTGCTGGGAATGCTGGGCCTGGCTGCCATGCGGCTGTTCCGATGCCCATAGAACTGGGCGACCGGGTGGCCCGTCGAACCGGGCGGGCTCACTGGGTTGCCCATCTTGCCAAACCAGAACTCCACGGTGTGTTCGTGCTCGGTGGTCTTCCCTTTGTAGAGTGTCGTGGTCAACGAAGACGCGGTCAGCCGTGAGAAGAGTTTCTCCTCTTCCGGGTCCAGGTCAGTGATTAAGTGCCGGAACCTGAAGGTGGCTCATCGCGTTCGCGTTCAGCTGGAGAGGGATTTCTAAATTAACCTTGGGGGGATGGTTTGACAAGTTAGATGGAGAAAGGCTCCAAGTTGGTTGGTGCTTCCATTGATTTACAGTATCTGACTTTTGCCCGGTGGTTCCTGGCGCGGATGATTATTGTTACGGTTGCCTTGTGCAACATCAGTTTGCAGAAACTGGATGGAATGAACTCCAATTCAACCCATCTCCGGCACCTGCGGAGATCAATGGCACTGATGAAGATGTCGGCCTCCAAGGTCTTTTCGGCACCTGCACGAGCAAAAAAAAACACCACAAGCACGAGCAAAAAGAGGGAGACTACCCGGTACCCCCTGCGATCCGGGCAAAAGAGTAATGGTTGGTCTTCCCTGGTGACTGCGTGAGCATAGCGTGAACAAGGAAAAAGGTCCTACTGCCTTTGTGGATGGGGGCTGGGTCAAGTAGATACCCTTTCATCATATAATAAGTGGAGTATGTGGTGAAGGGGGATGTACGTAACTTAAATTGCAACAACAATAGGATATTGTGGGTGTAAATGTAAGTGGGTGTGCATGGACACCCTATTGAGTAGAAGCATTGACAAAGAGGTCTGATTAATTACTACTACAACTGCAACCACTACAACAGCCAACCACTTACCACAACAACAACACAACTACAACTACAACTACAACTACTACTACTACTACTACTACTACTACTACTCATAAAGGGTTCGCACGGCCACCGCACGCACACGGAACGCAGGAACGCAGCACGGGCACGCCACGGGCACGCGACCTAAAGTTCCTGATCCCAGGAACCTCCCTGCTGGTGAGCCGCTGCACGCTGCACGGAACCTCCCAGCGACCCCCACTGTCCAGTGCTTAGCCGCTCGGATCGCGAACAATGTCCACCCCTCCGAAGCGCACGTCTGCTATATATCCTAGAAATCGAAGCACCATTGGCAGATCAGCCACTGGGTTTGTCATGATGATGCATAGCTAGGTGGACTGTAATGTGTGTTCCCGTCCTGTCCTTTCCTTCCTCGTCCTTCCTCTCCCTGTCCTGTCGTTCCCTACCTTGCGGGACTCGCCTGTGGAAGCGCCTGCAGGACGCGCCTGTGGACGCGCCTGCAAGACGCGCCTGTGGACGCGCCTGTAATGTGCGTTCCTGTCCTTTCCTGTCCTTCCTCTTCCTCTGCCTTCCTCTCCCTGTCCTTTCGTTCCCTTCCTTGCGGGACGCGCCTGTGGACGCGCCTGCAGGA